TCTGAGCAGAGACGGTCTGTCAAAATGTATAATAGGGTATCACGTCAATTTATCGAAAACAATTGATSGCAAGGCAATTGCTCGGAAACTTTTGATCGAAATACAATTGCTCATAGACAACAATTGATTGAAGAGAAATAATAGCTCGCAAAACTAAAAATTATATTATTATATTATATTATTGATATCTTATTTTTTATAAATAATTAATTACTATAAATAAAAAAGGTTATGTTATTAAAAAATGTAACATTGTAATATGTACATTTAAAAAATAAAGTCAATTAAAATTGATAAAAAATACGTAAAATTGAAAATTAAATTTCCAGTTAAAAATTATAGACTATTCTACGTAGATAATCTAAAATTAATAGATCATCATAATCGGTACAAATTTTYTTTTATTCTCTTAGCTCTATCTTGGTTTTTTTTTTCTGAAGTTCTATGGCAGATATATATTTCTCAGTTTTGAGTCGATTTATGCTATATAAAACACCATATTGATGAATGTTTTCCACTTAAGTTTGACGTAAAACAGTTATGCCAACTTTTAACGGAATTATTTGTTGTTTCTATATCTTATTCTATTCTTAAATAATAGTCCCACATTTCATTTTCAATTTTTGGTTGTTTTCGTATTCTTCGTCTATCTAATTTGCCTAAACAGGTATTTTTGAAATAGTCTAAAAATTGTTCTAATATTTCTTCATTTTCTGTATAATAATCACTTTCAATTAAAACACTATAATGAACTTATTACATCATCCTTAGGTACAAATACTAAAGCTGGTAACATTCTTAATTGCAATGCAAATTCAGGGTCTTTGCTGTATTTTTTTTTGCAAGCCAAATTCCTGAACATGACGTCACATACACTGGGACAAATGACAAAAATACCCATTTACTCTAGTACTAGGAAATTCTGTTTTAATTGTATTAATAGTAACTTTTTCATAATCAATCATTATAGTTTTGGGATTTAAATTTGCTTTTAATGACTTTAAAGCATCAAACATTTCACRATAGGTATCTTCTTTTTTATCAGATAGCAATACATAAACACTGGAAACCACATTTTAATACCATATACCATGAATTGTATATAATTGTGTAAAAATCGGTGGAGCTCCGAAAACGTTTTATCACCCAAATTTTTTTGGGTTGTATAAATCAAAATACGTGGCAGATTTGTGCCACTGTCATAATGTAAAAATAACTCACGGTCACTTGTATTTCGATACTGCTCAGGAATAGTAAAATAAAAATTATTTGGATTAGGTGAAGAAGCTTCTTCTCTTTGACGAAGACGTTGAATTGTTATTTTTAACGTTTGTATACTTGGTATATTTGCAACTAGAGCAACACTTGGTAACTAATTATAAAAAAAAAAAAAAATGTTTAATTAATTTAAAAATTATTATTTTATATTTATATTAGGTATACCTGATATACTATTAATATTGTTGTAAAATTGCATAATACCTGCGATGACATTYCTCTAATAACAGYATGAGAACTAAGTGTAGTTTGGGAAGAAWTCTCCTTTAAATGCGATACAACCTTCTTAACCTCAATTTTCGCTGCATTCGGTACATGATTATTATGTTTGATGAACTTCATGATATTTTCGTTAACGACATGAACTCGACCTTTGCATTTCAGTTTTTAATTTGCGGGGCATTTCCTATACACTTTTTCATTATACATTTTTCCTTGTGTATGTAAAAACCCTTTATATTCTAACATTCTTTTATTTTTTTCACTGTTTACATACACCAAACTKATGATGGCGAAACATAAAACGTGTCAAAATTATTTAAAGTAGGTACACTATAATATTGAAACGATAATTGTCTCGAATTTACTATGCACCACGTCGACGTACGTCATAAAATTACTATAGCGGTTGAATCCAATATTATTTTTATATCTAAGTACAAAGTGCACCAAGTTAACGTACGATATAATACGATACGTACGATACGTACTATATAACCTACCGATTCGGGGTTGGTAAATTGAGTCCCAAATGACCCTAACTCGGTAAATTGAGTCTTGGGGAAAAATAGGTAGTAGGTAAATTGAGTCCCAGAAAAAATAAGGTAGTAATTAATTTGAGTCACAGGGAAAAACGATTTATATGCATTTAAAATTTAAAAATATGCACTATAAAATCTTTATTTGTGATTTGTAGACATTCATTGACTGCATGTATATGATTTTGAATATAGCAACATGCATTTTTATTGCATAAAAATTATTATATAATTAATAAAAATGCAATTAAAATGCATGTTGCTATTTTCAAAATCATATACATGCAGTCAATGAATGTCCACAATTCACAAATAAAAATGTTATATTGCACATTTTTAAATTTTAAATGCATATAAATCGTTTTTCCCTGGGACTCAAATTAAATTATCTACAGCCTTATTTTTTCCGGGACTCAATTTACCGCTTTCAAAATGTACCAAACTTATCTCAGACTCGATTTACCTAGCCTCATAAAATTATTATCGATGTGTCTCGGTGGAAACATGATGTGGGCCGGTCTATTTATTATTAAAAGGTCTATGATGATTATATTACTTATTCGGGTAATCTCGTTATTGGGAAAACAATTTATATTTTGCAAACAATTGTTCTTCGATCAATTGCCGTTTGCGAGCAATTTTTTTCAATCAAAATTTTTCGATCTATTGATATTTATCCGTTTAAGAGGTATCTAAACGTGTATATTTTATGATAATCAATTTATATGATACGATAGTCGTTTATTTTACTATTTTAGTAAAACGGTAAATTTAATTAATTTTTTTCCGATAACATTAAATATTTTATTATATCATCAGTAAATTTGAGTATGAAATTACCTACTAATATTAGTTAAAGTATGAAATCATACATGAAAATTACACTCTAATTAGTTTTTTCATAGAAAATCAAGTTATTCTATACAATTTTAGTTAGATATACGTTAAAATATATAAGATACATTAAAATTTAAAATATATTATAAGATTTAATTTATTTTAAATTAAATTAATTACTAATTAGTTATTTGTACATGCAATTGTAACATTTAGAGTTGCATAGTATTTTTTTTTCTTCTGCAAAGACACCGCTTTTTATCACAGTTTTCAATACAAGTATACTTCAAAAACCCTAATCAGTTCCTAGAGACTACGCAGTTGCCCCACTAATATAACGTTATCATTAGTATGATGTACAGTAAAATAACGATATTGTACATGATATTTTGAATACAATTTGACACATTAACATTAACTATGTGATGCCAGGTAATATATAACAGCGGTTCGCAAACTGTGATCCGAGAGTAGTCTAGGAGCTCCGTGGCTCCCCGAGAATATCTGTATTAATTGAATTTAAATTATTAATATTAATTAAATAATTTGTATATATTCGTATTTTACAGAAAATAAAATAAAAAGCAAATCATTTACAATTGACATCATTTTTTATGAATTTTTGTTGTCTCATATAGACATTTCTGATTTTTGGGGCTCCGTAATTTTTTTTAGAAATATAAGGTCTCCGTGAACAAAAAAGTTTGAGAACCGCTGATGTATAAAATAACTAGTTAAGTATAAATTATATACATTACTTACACGTTTTAAGTATTTTTTAAATTACCTAGTTATTTCATAAAATAACTGATTCAACACTTTAACTGTAACATATATACTACGTTTATATGACGGTGTTAAAACATTCTCACTATGTAGTTTAAGAATTTAAAACCTATCTAATTTTAAGCCGTTTTAACGCCATCATATTATGAACGTAGTATAATATTTCAACTATCTAAATCAAAATGGAAAACAATAGATAGATAGATTAATTTTAACCTATGTGAAACCGGATAATACTGTTAGTAGTATGTATTTATATCATATATCATTCAATGATAATCATTGTTATTAACTTTTGAGTCAATACTAACATACAATGATATGTGTGAACTATAGGTTCATGGTATAATATAGGCAATTTAACTTAAATTTAATTTAAGCGTTTTAGGAATTTTATTGCACGTGTGATATATACGTACAATATACGTATAAAAGTATCAAACACAAAAAATAATGTTTTTGTGTATGACATCAAAATAATTAAAATATGATATATTAATTAATATTTTCTTTTTAACAAGCTGGAACAACAGGTAAAGCGAAAATAGATGAAAGAAAAAAATTTCAAATCATTTTAGTTTAATATCATTCTCATGAGCCATGATCTCAAACCATCATTTAACTACAAAAACAATTACAGTAGGTAACTAGTTTTGTGTAAATAGTGTAATGAGCCTTTACTTTTTTTGAGAGATAGGCACAAAAAAAACTTAAAACACACACCATTCTGATTTATTTTTGTTCAGTTTGCATTGATGATTGTCTATTTAGTAGTTTATAAAACAGAAATTAGCTTAAATAAATTATAAGACTTTCTACATAGTTTTTAAGTAGTCATTTATAATCTGTCCAAACTGTCATACTACTCATACTATGATACTAGAAATCTAAAAAGGGTGAACAAGTATGAGCAGCAGGTTAAGCAGGTTAATTGTAATGTGCTAAATTTTAATTTAATAATGTAAAATCATTGACCATTGTCAGGGCCGGTTATAGGCGTAGGCGATGTAGGCACAAGCCTACGGCGGCAAAATTTATAACTATATAGAGGCGGCATATTATAAGAAAAAATTTAATATCTTATTTTTCACGTTTATTTTAGATTTTAACAAATTTCAAAGTACAATATACAAACATATTGTGTAGATCGATAAAACTCCAAAACAATATTCAATAAAAATAATATAGATAATTTTTCCCTGAATTGCGATAACGTCTCAAAGCATGTTGTGCCATTACAATTTAATCGATAATAATTCTATTAACGTTTTTGCAATTGGTGACTGTTGTGTGTCATTCACTCTCACTGTATAGTGTAGTGTAGGTACATTCTCTATTGAGCTCAACAATATAATTTTTTTATAAATCAAGACATATACATCTATCAAGACTTCATTACACAATAGGTAAGTAATATAAATATAATATATTTTTAATTTACTGTTAATCATTATTGGTACCTATAGCGCGTAAATGATTCAATAGTATACGGTCACCGTTATAGTGAAACTGCCGCCCGACAGTTCAATCATAATATCATAACATCTTCTATCTGATATTTATTGTATTTGTAATTATTTTAAAAATGCAAAAAGACCAAATAATAGACTTTTTGTTAACTAGTGGTTAATTAACTATGTAATACTGTTATATAATTAGTTTTTCTTGTCCGTTGTTGTATGGAATTTATGTTAAATAATTAAAAAATAAAATAATATTAATTAATTAATTATTTATTCAGATATTATGGCCGATGACATAAAAAAGCGTAAACGATTATCAGGTTCACAATATTTAAAGAAAAGACTAGCACGGGAGAAAGATTTAGTTAAACAAAAAGGTAGTTTACTGAAATTTTGTCAACAAAATAGTCAAGAAAATGTTATTAATGATAATGATACTGATGACAGTGAAGAAAATAGTGGAAATAAAAATATTGAAGATCTAAGTATGGGCGAAGTTGACAATAAAAAAAAAAGAACATGACAATGAAAGTAAAGAAGAGATTAATATAACTGAAAAGAATAGTGCCATTAGTCCATTGTATACAAGTATGACAACAATTCTAATCGAAGACTGTCTGTCAGTTTATATTAATCAGTATAATTTATGATATTATATTATTATTAAGGTAAATCATTTTACTATTAATAATACAATTTGATTTCAATTTTACCGAAAACATTTAGTTTGTAAATTAAATTATGTAAAAAATATAATAATACATTTTAAAAGTTATCAAGTACCCATTAATTTTTCAAATAGGTACATCAAAATACCTAASTAAAATTGTTGTTTTTTGTTTAAATACCAATTTCACTTCGTCTGAATTTGAACTCAAAATATCAAACAAAATGCATGTTCATAAATTGGTTTGATTTTTTGATAAATAACAACTATTTATTAGAAATCATTTTTGAAAATTTTAATAACAATTAAACATTTAATTATAGTTTTTGACTGCACAATAATTTGCGAGTTTCGTGATTTTTATGAATATTATATCTAGATATACATAAAATTCTATGAGAAAATCATTATTATTTTTAAATTCCTATTATAATAATTTAAAATGAATATTGGATACACTTTCAAACTTTTCGTTTCAGTCAAAAATTTTATCGATGTTATATGAAAAAATGTAATATTATTTCAAATATCATATATCTATAAAAAAACACAATTATTTTTAAATCACACCATATGTAAAAAATGATTATATAAGCATACTATATCGAGTATTTAAATTATCTACGGTTAATATTTTTTAAGTTATTTCAAAAAAATACCTACTATTTAGTTTATTGAGTTCCTGCTTTTTATTAATTGTGTATTGTTTTCCATATTATTTTAAACAGTACTGCGTATTTTCAACTTTTACTTTTTAAAAGTACTAACTAGATGCAATTTCCTATCAAAAACAATAAATTAAATTTAAAATTGAATCATTTTTTTTCTTGTCATGTTCCTGCTCAAAAAAATAAAAAAATACGCACATCATTGTTTATCATTCCACTAAGAATATAAAATATAAAATGATAACTATTTTATATTTTCTAAAATATAAGTGTTTTATAAAATGGTTTTAGGACTTTAGGTATCTATTCAATACATAGTATTCATGAATACTATGTATTGAATATTGATTTAGATGCATCTAATGTTTACTTTTAAAAATTACAACGTTAATTTTAGTTGAAGTTATTTCCAACTGTGATTGAAAACATAATGATTTTATGTACAAAACACAAATTTTAAAATTTTACTTCAGCGATAAATAGTTAACACATTCTAATATTAAAGTCAAAAAATAATTATATTTTGTGTTTGAACAAATTATCAACAAACAAATAAAAAAAAACTTTTGGATCATACCATGGTATTATGAACACATTAGACAAACATTTTCGACAAAAATATAAATAGATACTTTGTTTGGATTAATTATTGAAAAACGCTTTAACGAAAGTTTACTGGAGATCGAGAAAAATTAAATATTTAATATTGAAGAGCAATGTTGTTATTCGTTAGCTATAAAACTTATAAAATAAATCAAGTTGTACTAATCATGTACACTGTACAATATACACTTAATATACGAGTTTATCATAATATCAAATATATAAATACATTTTGCTGGGTGTTAAACAAGTCCGCTCATCACACATTTAATACTCATAAGTTGAAAGTTATAACTGATTGGCTACTCGTTGGAAATATTGTCAGACATTATGTTAGTGCCTTACTGATATAAATCTTAAGCAAGCAGCTAATCCATGACGTCTTATTTAAATAATAAACCATCGATTTCGTTTTACTATAATCGAAAAATAGCTATGTTAAAATTAAATCTTGTGTTTAAACATTTAAACATAAAACACCATAATATAACCGATTTCAAAACAAAAATGGTAACGTCAAAAAATAAGTTGAACATAACACAATTTCAAATATGTATTCTTAAATCTCGTTAATTTGTGTTATGTTATTTAGACAGTTAATTAATGTTGTAGAATAATAATATTATGCGTAAAGATGTATATAAAGGTGATTATAATATATGTCAAATATTAATAATAATTATGATAACATATAGTTCTACATTTTCTGGCTTAAATTGTTAAATGTTGTGTTTCTATTTGATAGAATTCGATATTATACTAATAAATTGTCACATCACCTCATTTAAATTAAAACATTTTACGAATAAACCGATATGAGTTTGACTTTGCAGTTCGTCAGGGATGCAGTCAGTGTTACATAATATTGTAATAACAATATTTTCCAATACGTTAATACTTTTCTTCTGAAAAGTGTTTACCGTTAAACGTATCGTCTACCGCATGTGCACAGCTATGTATCGCAGTTAATCGAATTAATATTGTCTCCATGTCAATGTAATGAATCGATGGCATGATCAAAAAGAATCGTCTGAAGTTACACTATAAAATATGAATACATTTTGAAAACAACAGCTACAACAAAGGCTGATAAATGGTTTATCGTTAAGTCAAATTTCTGTTTTATGTGTAGAACTATGTACGTTTATGTGTACATGAATACAGCTTTTTAAAGTGGTTATTTGAATGATTATTATTTATATATTGTATTATATATGGAACACGTATTGCGGGCGATGCAAAGGCGTACAATGCGCATACGAGGTGTGAATATAAGTCAATGCTTATGGAAGTACATACATAACCAGCACTATTTTTTATTTTATTTTTTTCACACAAGTACAACTAACGGTAAACATCGGTTCATAAAAATACAAACGTTAAATTGTCGAGAACGAAAAAAGCCGAATAATACTCACTGAAACATTGTATATTATATAACATGTATAAGTGTAAGTCATTTTGACATTTTGATACTTGGTTGTAAAAGAATCTCAACGGAAAATATCGACTTAATATGTAAATAATGAGATTTGAAATACGTCTCCAATATTTTCGAGTGTATACGAGCCTACGCACATTTTGGTATAATAATGTACCTTTACCGAAGAAAATATAACATCATATCGCAATCATTAAGATTTAAGATGATATCAATACGCAAAATGCCTGTCAATATTTCATTTTAAAATACAATAAAAAATTATTGAAAAATCGCTTTTCACTTTTCCCGTTATCCAGTCCAATCTGTTAAGAATACATTGGTCATAAAATATTAGGTTCGTAAGTTTTAATAAAGGATTAATTGAATATCATATTCATACTTTTTATGATATTTAAAATTTTTAAACTCTGTAATTATGTATAACCAAATAAAAGTAACAATAGAATGAATAATTTACATAATTTCTGTATACATTTAATTGTTAAAAAAATTTCATTCTTCAGTTAATTTTTTAATTGGAAATCTTTCACATTGATTTATTTACAGTACTATCTTAATTTGAACACTTATCAGGCTAGAATAATGGAACTTTGAAGAGCAGTTTTCGTATTTTGAGGTTACGATGATCGAAGTAATCAATAAATATACCTACCATCATTTCGTAGTATTATACCATATATGAGTGTACACTTAAATAATAAATGCACTAAAAAATACTTCACTATAGTTGTGAACATTAATGAATTTAGTGTAAAATGAAATTTAAGACGTTTGGATGAAAAAAATATATTTTTGTTTTTAATGACTTCATACCTAGTGCCTACTCTTAAAAAATGTAAATTATCAAAAATATTGTAACATATTTTGAAAAAAAAAAAGATTTTGTTTACTTTCAAATGAGCTACCCAATGTCAGGATAAGCTTGTACGCTATATATATAGAAGTGAGTCGTAATATTATTTTTACGATTCTGAGTGTACACACAACTTAATGCACTATATAATATATACAGGTATATATAGTATTTTGATAGAAGCGAGAGACGGAAATTCTGGTTGAGGAGAAAATAAAAATTGTATAGTAGCGAGGATGTATGTGTACTCAGAAAGTCACTAAATAACTCTGGAATATTGAGGGTGAATGTCCTATTGATATATAATACGGCATCGGTATCTGCGAATATGCGATAGATTTATAGCTCTGAGAGTATAATATTCCTTACTGCAGGCTCATCGTAGATTCAAAAAAGACATTGAATAAAAACCCTTTCTGCGTGTGTGTAGATATATACATGCCCCACCGCCACCGTCCAAACGCAATACGCATGCGACTCGCTCATATATATTTTATATCACATAATACGTCGGTAACGGAAAACAATATAAACGATAGAGTCGAATATGCATAGAATAATAATAATACAGTATACGGAAATTCGTATAATGTTGTGTGTATTATTMTATGTCAGTTTATGGCATTTTAAAATATTGTCCATATACACGCTATTCGTATGATAAGACACGCAATCGTAATACACTCAAATAAAATTATTATTATTATATGTAATCAATTATATTAAGCACTGAATATTCATGTATCGACGTGTATACATAATATGGATTGACGTCCGTACCTATAATACGTTGTATATAACTATATATAAGAATATTTTAAAACACTGAAGTAAAATTCGCGGTCGTCAATATACAATAATATTATACAATCGATTGTAGGCCAAATGCAAGTCATATATTACTATCTAATATAATATAGGCGATGGATTCTCTTATTTTTCTAGGCGATTTAATGTGAACGAGATGAACGTCGTCGGGTATAATATTACGATGATAAATTAGCAATATTTTTACATTATATTAAAGCTTGTTATCAAGACTTGAAATAAAAAAAATCCAACTGATATATTACATACACTACAGGGAAAACGATAACTTTATAGCTACTTTATTATCGCGTTCATGATATTCTCGTTGATCTTCACTGTATTGTTTGAAAATATAAATTCCATGACTATTTTTATAAGCACTTAAATCGTTGTCATTTGGATTTAACACTGCAGACGATAGTGATAAACTAAATTTCTAACTGACATTATTATTATTATGTTTGCGTCAACGATGAGTTGAGTCTTAAAACTGTAACTGCAACTTTGTAGTGTTAAGAAAAACTAAAAAAACTCTTTAAATAAAGCGTACCATCTATTAGATATTACCGACTTGAATCGTCCAGAGAGTAGTTTAAACAATGATATTATGTTGTCACTTAAAATTCATCCATCTATGTAAAACAAAAGAAAAGAAAGACACACCAAAAACCATATAAACCGCAGTAGCAAGTCTTTCTGATAGAACCGTAATAGAGTTTGTATGTTTGGAATAGGGTAGCTTAGTCATTTTCGTTCTTTGCCAGTCGATATATGGCTCATTGATGTATTTGAAAACCCACGCAAAGTTTTAACGGTTACAAGGCCATCCTAAGAGGGAGTGTAATGCACAAAGGTGTTGAATTCGCCAACATTTTTAGAGACGTCCGATCAAAACATAAATTTAAAATTATTTATGTTACTAGTCTTGACAGTTAATTGGATAAAATCATCTATAATGATACACATAAAAAACATTTTTTATGTTCAACTTTCCGATAACCGGTATGTAAATCAATAAAACTAAGAATGGATATATTGGATAAAGTTTTTAGAGATTAAAGGAAATAGAAATGATATTAAACAAGAAGCAAGATAAATTACAAATAAAATAAAATAATTTAAATTTGTCATTATTTTTGATTTTTTGAACTATCTATCAAAATGTCTTTAACTAATCAATATTGGTTATTAAATAGTATTAAAAGTAGAAAATTAAAATTAAATGTGAAAAAAATCTTTGCTGAAAAAATAGTTTGATGATAACATACAATAATATTATGATACAAATTATATTTGTCATTCGTGTTCGTATATTTCCATGATATAAAGTCATTCGCAAGAATATCAAGTAGTTTTAGTAGTTTCCCAATAGAAATAATATCAAATGCCATATCGACCAGAACTAGTGGAGGTGTAAACTAAAATCTTTTGAGGCACAGCAATTTTTTTTTTTTTTTGACACTCAACCAGACTCGAAATAAGTAAAAATATACTGATATTGAATAATATGCACATTGTCCATGAATTATTAATAACAAACATTTTACTATGGATTTTCAACTTTTTAACCACCTACGCCTACTCAAACACTCCACTAAGTTTTGAGCTCTGCGCCTACAAATTCATGCGTGCCACCACTGAATTAGTTTACCACTTCATTCGTATAATATTTGTCTATCCTCGCTAATTGAAATTTATTTAACCTACATAATATAGTGGTATAATACATTAGTACATATTAAAATGTGACATATACGGTAGGTGCACTGTCCGACAAACGCATTATTCGATGCATCACAAATTCGAATAAAAACGCGTCGTGATTAATTATTATTAACTGAAATCAGTTCTGCGGAGAATAATAATAACATGGCAATAATACATAATATAACGCAGAGATTTTCAAACTTATATTTTTGCGTACCATTCATGTGCATTATAGATTGAGCATGTAAAAATAATGAATACAAATTGAATTACAAATTCAAAATTGCAATACATAGGTGTATATTTATTAATTAATAATATACCTGTACTAATAATAATTTAGGTACATTTCACAGCATATTTAGTTCCTATTTTAAAAAAAAATAAAACAATAATAGATATATTCCAAGTATTAGTAAAAATATCAATTGTTGTTTGTAGACCATAATATACTATATGACTATACGGTATTTTGCGTACCATTAGCAGTATGCAGACCACAATTTAAAACCACTGATAAAACGTATCAAAGTGTCATATTATATCGTTTATTGTCAATTAAGTTTGACTGAAAAGTTTTTTCATGTAAATGAATATAGTGACCAACCAACCAGTTGACCATTGCGCCCACAAAACTAATTTGATTAACCATATATTTCCCCGGGCAGAAAATGAGATTTTCAATTTTCACTCAATCAAAATATATAACATAATATTGCCATTAAACGTGTTTTGGTTCTCCGAGAACTGACAACTTTAAATGTATTTTAATAGTATGTAAATTCTTGAATATGGCTGACGGCGACTGTTTAATTTTAATGAAAATCTTTTAGTGTAAACATTATGAATGGTTGATAATTTTGAAAATTTCATTAACAAATGTTTTGTACACTTTTAAGTCTTATTGTATATAGTTCACGTTTCAAGGTATTCGTGTGACATTTTCGCATTTACAGTGAATATTTTAATTGCTTCAGATGCGATAATATCTGAGATATTATAGTAATATTATTAAATTATAATAGTTTTGTATTAATAAGTAAAGTGTAAATTATTTCAGTACCTAAATGATATTTATATACTGAAGCCGTGACTGTTTTTATTTCAGATTCCAATGAATTGAAGTCCGAACAACAGCAATCCACAAAGTCTTATAAAAAAGTGAGTAAAAGCATAACATTTTATAATATTATATCCTAAGTAGGGTATAATACGTTAATATTTTATATTTTAAATATCCAACAATAATTGTTGCTGAACATATAAGTTAAGGCTCTAACAAGACAATATTATTTTTAAAATGTTGAAAAAAAAATTATAGGCATATTCATCATTTTAATACCATTACGTTTTGTTAAGAAACAATACGAATATAACAGAGAACTATTATGTGCATTGTCCTATACAATATTACATAGATGATGATTAAAAATTATTAATTGAATTGTAGTCTGGTGGAGAAAAATGGGTATTACTCGTACGAATATTTCTCTGCCTCTTTGTTTCATGGTAGCTTCAATATTACTATAAAAATAAAATAATATTAAAATATGGAAAAAATATTAAACAATTTTGTTTGTCAAGATTGTTTCGGTTTCATATAACTTTATGGACAAACGTATAATGCTATGTTATATATATGGTTGTAAAAAACAACATTTTTCTTTTCACAACCAAAAAATAGTGTAATATACCGTTGGTAAACTTTTAGCTAAAACTGATTTTTTTTTTAAGTACTGAGAAACTATTTATTTAGACATCTGTGCAAATAATATAGCCAAACCAGCACGATAACTCTTCAGTCGAGATAATAGGGAGGATATATAAATAATACCCTCTTCATATTTTTTGGGCTCTTGGGACTATTTTACCTGGTTGACATATTTATGATACGTGATTTAAAACAACTGTTTATTTTAAGCGGTTATTTATTTTTATTTTATTTTTACTATTATAAAAATTATAATTTATGTTTTTTTTACTACTCTCGTTTTCCTTTTAAACATTTTTAATCGGAATTCATCTCACTGGGATTACAGTATTACACATAATAAATATTGTCAACTAAACTTGCTATAAACATGCATAAACATAATTATTATTATATATAATAATTTCTATAAAACCACATACATTTTATTGATACTAATCTGATAAACTGATAAAATTGATTTAATATTTTAATGTTTGATTAAAATTCACTGAGATGCGTGTGATAACATATAAATATGGCAAATTATAATTATTAATCATAAAATATCACATAACATGAAAATAATGCATAAATTTTCATATTCATTGCTTCAATTTTACTATTAAGATTGTATTAAATATATGATCGATAGATTTTATTCTTTCAATAATATATTTGTTATAGCACATATTTTCGTTTGACCAGATAAAAAACATTACATTTTCATTGTATTTTTTATGTACACATATGTGATTATCAAGTTCAAATGTAGGCATAACCCTTTTCAATTTTATAATTACATATTTAAAACAATAAATGTAATTTAAAATCAGAATTAAAACCAAAATCATATTATTGTTTCACCAAAAATTGAGAAAATCATTTCTTATTATAAGTCAGATAATCAGATTTGAAAATTAATATACAGCACAAAAATTATTAAAAATACAAATATTATAGTCCACTTTACTGTACAATAAGCATTATATATAACTACTTTAAATTCCGTAAAAAAAATTAGTATATCAATAGAAATTGAATCAGTGGATATGACAACGGTATTTATAAGATTTCATATTTCAATTTATTGTACAAAAATTCTATTCGTATGATTACTTAAATAAAACCCCGCCATTCGATCAATAAATATAAAAAAATAATCTTTAAGTTCCTTGTAGAATTATATTTTATTATATTTTTATTATTATTATAGGTACATTTTAGTCTACTTAAATAAGATGAATTATTTATATGAAAATTATCAACCTTTTTATAAAATACTTAATCATAGGTTTAAAAATTGTTTACGGTGGTAAATTTTCCTGTAACAAATTTGTTATTTTATTTTGTTCACAGTTACCCGCACCCATGGTGGATGATGATCTTTTGGAATTTTTGGTTCGCGTGGCAGACAATCCAGCGGAATGGAATAAAATTCGTCGTGTTTTAAGTAAATATAATCAATTATCTATATTTTATGTAATATAAATATCTATTCTATTGCATGGTTATCGTATAAAAAGTTATTTGGATAACAAAAATAATACATATGTGCTAATAATTTATCACTCGATTGTTTATTAACAGCTTTTGATTTTTTTGTATGTTTATATTATAAAATATTATGGTAATTTACCTAGTTAGTTTTGAAACTCAAGTCAGTTAAATTATGTTATTAAATATTTATTTAAATGAATGAACAAAATGTAATAGGGTTATATTACAGAAGATATTATAATACATTTCCGTAACATGTTCAGTTCAAATCTGTAAGAAAATAAAAATATATTAGATACTTTGGATAATATTATATAAGGATTTTATTTATGAACAATAGTTTAAAACCTATATGTTTAGATTGCATATTTTTCTTCGATGGAAATCAATTAATTATTGAAAATGAATAAATTAACTTAAGCATTTATTAAATTTCTATATATTTTATTTAATTATAGTTACCTAATAAGTTCTGACAGGAATCGTGCCAGGAAAATTGTTTGATTCCTATTTTATTCTGGAAGATGGTAATTAAAAACATTGTTAATTCGAAAGGTTTAAAAAAAAAAACTAAACTATTTATGGTTGATCTATAGAAATTCGTTGTTGAAACCTTGTTTATATGTATGATGCCGTTTAATGTTAAATAAATCTATTTGTTTATCGTCATCTATTAATATAAATAAAAATATACAGCATATTTTACTATTTTACGAAAATGATGATTAATTATTAAAGACAAATAGTGATTGTATATAAAAGAGAATACTGTATATGAGTTATGACTGACTTTAATTCAATCCAGCGCAGTTCAAACATAATATGAATGCATATTTTAAAACGATGACTAAAATTCAACAAATGGGTTTTGTTTTTTATTTTATACCACATCAATTAACGTATATTCCACGGATAAAAATGAGAACAACCCTAACCCTTCATTATAATGTACTGGCTTTTGAATAATCTCAAAATGAAAAACACAGATTTCCCCCTTATTTCATCAGCAGCTTCGTCCATCTTAACGTCTATTCACATAAAAGCACTTAGGAGGATTGCAGTGGAAAGTATTCAATACACAACACGTGACTTGTTCAACGGTTTTATAATATTTCATAAATAAGATCGTTAAAAAAAAGTGTTACGTCCCAGGTTTCTAGATTTGAAACGAAAATTATATGTTTTCCAGCAGTATATTTTTTTTCTCGGGTACTTTTTTACTTTTTGGAAATAAAATTCTACAAAATATTCGTGTGGCTTGGAATTCGGTAGAAGAATCATGAAATTTACTTGATCTAATGTAATATTAAATATAATTTTATGTATTTTCATGATTTTATACTTTTTACTAAATTAAATTATTTCCCGAATTATTAATTATAATATGCCTTTGAAAATTAATTGATATAATTTAAAGATTAAATCCAATAGAATATAATAATATATTAGAGACAAAATAATATCTACACAACTATACATCAGCTTCTGTTTAGAATAAAATAAATATATATAATAATTAAATTACGAAACTAATAAAAAAATATTAAGTAGGTACTTGTCACTTGATATAGTTATATGTAAATATTAAAATATTATAGTGAGAGTTACCTGAGTAAAGGCTACGACCTCTTGAAAATTATAAATTAATTATATCTAAGTATTAGTAATTAAATATAGGAAAGTCAAAAGTTGGATGACATCGGCCGGATATTATAACTATTGTATAAATTAGAAGCCCACTTGTCTTAAACGCACTATCACATCACTCATTTCAAAATACCAACTATTAAGCTTGAATATTACGATAATATAGGCTTGCGTAGCCGTATTTTGTTCAAGAAATAGATATGAATATATCGAATTATAAATTTCTAAGCTAGGTATATAATATGCAAATATTATTAGTTCAAATTTTTATATTTTAACAGCACAATATTCATGTCATATTTTATTATTAGTTAGTAAAAATATTACCTATTTAAGCAAAAATATATTAAGTATACAAACTACAAACTAATCAATATAATATACCATTAGTCGTATAAAAACGTATTGTATAATCTTATATTTTGAACAATGAAAAGGCTGTGTTTGACATACGGCTATACAAGTATTACAACTTTCGAGCATGCAAATGACGGTTTTTCGTTATATTGAATAAAAAAATATATTATTTAATAGGATTCTTTGGTACAGTACCTACTTATATGATGATAACTTTTATAATATATTAGGATAGATATTGCAAAAACAACTTAATTTACAAAATTCTGATTACTGAACAAACATTTGCTATAATATTATATGTTTTTTGCAGAGAGGAATTTACTAGAACGTATAATTAAATATAGAAGTATTATATTACTACACTGGAAAAAATACCAACTATTTTAACTTGTGAAAACAGTAAAACTATATTTATAATATTTTTCTTAACTCATTTCGTACTGTTTTAAATTCATCAATGATCGAAAAAAGTATATAAAAAACTGCATTTCCTGGAGCCAAAGATGGCTTAGACATTTAAAATAACCATCGATTTCTATGCTATAAAAGTTTTTCAACGTTTTTGTTAGCATTTTAAATTGATACCACTTCATGCATAACAATTAACAATATTATGTGATTATAAAAATACATAATATTATAAGTTGGTACAATTAGGAATATAATATGGTATTAATGTATTATAATAATATAGGTCATGGGTGATGAATTATAAATACAAATTTCTTTTATCATTAATTAATCACATTATAACTAATATATAATACATACATTTTCAATTGTATTATTGATAAAAATAAACTTCTGGGTAAACTTTAACGTCTTATGTGTATTGTGTTGGTGGCAGTTTGATAATAAGATTTTGATCCTAGTAACTTATCAGATTTTTATATAAGTACATCATGAGTGCATTCAAAAATTAAAATATATCAAAACTTAATATAGAAATTATATATTTAATGATGATATCTTGTTAATATTTATTTTGGCCTTTAAGTGCTTAGAGCATTGTATAAAACGAATCGCTTCTTATTTGTTCCATATTAATTATAAGACAAAGTTAAACAAGAGAATAACTTCCTAATAAACACTTGACAAACAAATAGTTAAATCTGCATGTTCTAAACCAATGATTTAGTTCAAGACATTCATTAAGTTGCTCACCGTCGTAAATGACTATGTCGTCATTATTTTAATAACGTTTGAATCCATTGTTTAGAGTTTAAAACAATTTTATACAATACATACAACAGTATTATCTGTAGACTTTTGTTGTAGATTCAGTGGATAATCGAAATTTATTTTATTAACTATACGTCGTATATATTCAAAATATTTGAAAAAAAACTCGAAAATTAAGTAGACATAATATTATGATGTATTACTTACGTATCTATTAAAAATTATTTTCAAAGTATCATCACGTATATGATGTATTCATCGCTAATCCCATATTACTACTGTATAATACCACATAATACAGTAGTATAGTGTGGTATAATACTACTTTATAGTAAGTTAATGTAATGTCGTTACAGATTATTTATAAAGGTTGGTCTATCGAGTTTAAATAATAAATATTTTAGATCCTGAGCGGATCAATGAATATATTGATTTTACAATGATGTGTGTGTTCTTTTTTTTTTTTTACTTTTGTGTCTGTGTACACGTTGAGTTCCGAGAGTTGAAATAATGTTTCAACTTCAGCATCTTTTCTGGCAGAAAAGTGGATCTAAATGGTGCATTCGGGTAGTCTACATTTTAAATTCTCAATAGTGTTAAAAAGTAGCGGGAAAACAGGATTTTTTCGTGAAATTGGTTTACAATAAAATAGATTTCGATTTTTAATGTTACTGTAAAAAAAATTACTGTAGATGCATGACATTTTTACTTAATATAATATATTATATTAGAATTTTTGAAAATTATTTTGACTTAGAAATTCATAAAAAAATTATTTTTATATCTAAGATTTAAAAATTTAATACGAAACTCCTCATAAGTTTTTTTTATTGTTATTAACTTTGAAAGCATCAACTGCCTGTTTATTAAATGGCAATATATTATTTAAGTAAAAATTAGRTTAAATTTACATAACATTTATTACATTTATATTTGTACACAATTTTTTTTAGTTTGGTAAATTAGCGTGGTTTACCACTATGCAATGTTACGTTATTTTAAATCATACGTTTTATTTTTAATTATACTATTAGACTTAAACACGACAGGCGTAATTAAGAGCGTGGCAAGGGGGAAGACAATTTCCCCTGACATTTTATAGAGGGACAAATATATCGTTTTAACTCCACTAAGACCATAACTTTTAACTCTGATAATCTAATTCATCCAATATTACAGCACAAGTTTTATTAAAAGTATTATACTCGAACTTAAATATTATTTGTCTGTAAGCGTTTGTGTAATTAGTAAATTGTCATTAAAATACTCATATTGTTTTAGATATACCTAATAAAAAAATTATCATATTTTTCAMCCACTAAACCCCATCCGCCCCGCAAAAAAAAGAAGAACATTGAATAGTTTTAATGAAAAATGTATCCACTTCGCTATTAACTTAACCAATTTTATCACTTGTTGATAAGTGATAGTGTATAAGCCCAAACCATTTACCAGTAAATGCATTATATTTTATTCGTATTTTAAAACATTATAATTTCAAATGCCTATAAATAGTTCAACTTAAGCCGAAAATTTTTGAAAATTGCATCGTGGATAGAATATACTTCTATAAACATTCTGTGAAAATTTCGTGTATCTATGGTCATTTGTTCCAAAATCGATTTTGTCGAAAAATGAGTGTGCGTAAAATTTCCCGTTTTTCCCTTAATTTTTAGTTTGTTTTTCTCAATTATTTAGAAAAGTATTAAGAATTTTTTACTTTTGACCCCCCAAAGTACCAACTAGATTCACTTTCTGATCTGA